AAGAGTAATGTAATGTTTGTGACATGCACAGGAGAATATATTATGTAGTTCGGTGTCGAAACATAATGCTGGCCAGAGCATCATCAAACTGACGCTGGAAAGATACTAATGTTGGGGCACAGACCACGTGAGGTGGTACAGAGCTCTATATGCTACACACTCTGACTGCAAACGAATAGCGTCTGCAGTCGAAACGNTCGAAACGGCTCTTTTGGAGTGCCAACCTCAGTGAATGCCCTCTGAGATGAACATTAGTTGATAGAACCAAAAGAGATCTACATGGATGGTCGAGCTGTTGGAAAATCCGATACAGTAAGATCATATCACCTCTGGTTTAACGAAATTGAGACGAGTATAGCCCCAATGGCTGTAATCTTTCGCCATAGGTCTTGGAATGTGGACCTTTAACCATCTTGGTAACCATTCTCAACGGATGTTTGAGCGCCTTCCTCTCTCGCTGCAGCCATGGGGCCCAGGCCTGAATTGAGTACTCGGTGTATAGACGGATATATGTGGCTAAGAGACGTGGAAACAAAGCCGTCTCAAACGATTCAAAAATATATTTAAGCAGTCCAACCTGTTTTACCGTCATGGACGATGCCATGGAACAGTTTGTTGATCAACTCAAGTCTGCGCGGATGATTACTTCCAGATCCTTCTCGGATGGAGCATGAGGTAGAGTTTCATGTCCGAGAGTGTAATAAAAACGACCATTGTGACGTAGTGGCAAGACTTTGCATTTGGTAACGTTAAATTACATGCCTTTGGAGACAGATCATCCGTGGGCTTCGTCAAAGGCGTTTTGAATATCAAATGAATCTTCTGGTTTTGTCATTGTCCTCCATATTTTGGCATTGCTGCAAACAGCAGAGTTTGTGATCCGAAGACGTCTGGAAGATCATTTATCAAGGCAAGGAAAAGGCTTGAGCTTAGCACAGATCCCGTGGAACCCCACGGTTAGCATCTATTGGATCAGAAAGTGAATCGGAAACACGAACTGACACGCTACGTAGTCGAAGAAACTCCGCGATCTAGCCAAGTACGAATCCACAGGTTCCATAGGTATATAGATATGTATATAGTTATATAGTAGAAAAGATGTTTCCTACGCTATCGTGACCGACAACAGAAGCCATCTTACTCCTAAGGAAATGACCAGCTGATTGAAGTTTTGGGGGTTTCCGTCACGTCGTAACTGCAATTCGGTATCTTCGGCGATGCAACCTAGAACATCGTGCGTAGATTTCTTGCCAAGTGCCAGTGCTTCGGTAAAACAGTTTCAATGTATTTGATAGAGAGCTCGTCATTTTCCTGATGAAGTACCACCGCTAAGCAGAGTCAGCAATGTGAATACGTAGCGTAATCTAAACTGGCCTTTACATACCCAAACGGTTATTCGTAACCTGAAAGATCTCTGATTTCAAATATGAGGATTGCGTCATTTCTGTCCTGATCGGTCAGTCGGTGATGGGAGCTTCTGTCCAGAAAACTTGTTCCCCGATAACCTTTTACTGATGCATTGTGATTTTACCAGGTTTGCTGAAGGCTGACTTCGAGCTGCTGGGACGTGGCCTCGTAATGATCAGTAGTGTTTCCTGACGTTTCATTATCTGCTGTAATAAACAACATCTGTGACGGTCCTACTGATGCATGCTTGAAGTTTTCAGACAACATTCTCCCTGATGGCACCCATTCTTTACTCCTGTACCTGTGTACATGCAAATCCCATCCGTCCGGTTGCTCCATACGCAGGCCTATCCCATCTCGCATATCTATTTACAGAGAGTCCCTATCTTTCCTGGACACTGAATGACCAAGAGAGAGACAGAGAGTTCTCGACATATTATTACATTTAGCATTTAATTCCCATTTTTGTATACTCGATGTCTCACCTTTTTATCCTCTTTTTCAGTAATGTAAGAGTGGATGTGGGGCTGAAAGCTTGAGCATTATTTTCTAAAGCCACAATACAAATACAAATACAAACTCAGCTACTAGCCACAGTTCAGTTCAGTTCAGTTCGAATAGCCATTAGCCATGCACTTTTGTGCGCCGGATTTGGTTTCTGTCTTTTGGCCACCCGTTTGGATGAACAATAGGAGAAAGACAGGAAATTTGAAAGTGGACTCGAAGAGAAAATTGGATATTTCATTGGATAAATGTGGCAAAGAAATCCAGAAGATGCACACTATTCACGACATGAAGCCATATCACTCACTTCGCGGCTGTCAGACCATGGCGTGGTATAGAGGTATGAAGAAGTTAGCCTCAGCATTGGCTTCGGTTGGTGCAACTCGCCTTCTAGACTGGGGCCCAAGGTATGAGGATTGCCGATGGCTAGAGACGCTAAGAGATATGGCTCAGAATAGCTATCAGTGGCGTGATTGCTGTGCGGTTTGTTTGGCGAAACCTTGTTCCCCATAACACGAAAATATTCTCAAGAAATGTACGGTAAAACTACCAAAAAAATTCATTCATTTATTCATTCGTTCTCCGTGTTCTCAATTTTCCCCGTTTTCATTTCATCTTTCTGTACCCCTCTATAACTTCATTATCATTGTTTTGCCTTGACACAATGCTTGTTCTCAAGACGATGTAAAATATAAATATTTAAGACGCCGAGTTACGGTCATTCAGGGACACAGAACGAGACCACAGGTGACCAAGAGTTTGTCAAATAATACATTTGGACGATTTGACAGTACACATCATTGGCACTGAGATCAACAAGTTTGGCTCAGCCTAACACTGTCACCAATCTCTAATTGTGTCCATCCCGTTCTGTCTGAATCACTCTTCAATACAAGCCCCGAAAACAGCACAGATGAAACACGATGATTCTGACGTCTGCGTAACCACCGCAATAACAGTAAATTCAAGCTCACTTCAAGCTGCGCTGGATTACGTGATCTTAGATCGGCTAAGAACTGCGGCACGTTTTACTACGTTTGCTGTCTTCGTGTGTTCACTTTTTCGCTACTAAAACAAAATTAATTCTTGTGTCATTGTGTTTGTGAGTGCTCGTTCTGAGCTGGAACACTTCTATACGGAATCTGATTTCCAGGAGTTCCCGGGGACGATTACGAATTGTCGAGTTTCTGTTGATTTATTCACGTGCCAAATAAGTCATTTGGCAAAACGACACGACTTACATGATGCACGAGAATCCGGTCGCTATCCTGTTCTAAACCTACCAGTCGGACTAGATCAGCACAGTACAACCTTCGTCTTTCCGTGTAAGTGCCATTTACTCTAAAAAGATGAGTTTCGGTTTAGTTACAAATAAACACCAGTGCTTACTGATCTCTCAGTTGAACGGTTTCAGAGCTGTAAGTCATCATATCGTCATATTTGTCATTCTTTACTTCTTTGACATTCAACGGGGATTTTGATTTTGCTTCCGGGTGAGGTTTTAAATCGGGCAATTTGGATTGCGTATCGATTACTTTTGAATTACTAGTGACGGGAAATCAAAACCATCAAACCAGGATAAAGAATTACATTTTCTTTTGTTTTTCTCGTTGACTTCGAAACTTTTCAAACCAAAGACCATCATCCTGTTCGGAAGCTGAATCACTTGAAGTTCTATTTCCCGAGGCAGTGGAATCAATTGGAAACCTCGAGCAGTTTGCGTAGGTGCTGTGTTTTGAGATATTTTTCCGAGATGATAAGACTCACCTGTCCGTTTTTTTCACTACACGTTCCTGTTGACCCAACGGGATAGTGTTTCGCAAGTCACAGACCACGGTTTTACGCTCAGATTGCAAAATTTCCGGTTCTCCAGTTAGGATAATTTAGTCTCTCAATCAGAGAACTCACCAGACGAGTCACCTTTGAAACTTGCCGGGCAAACAAAATGTTGTTGGTGTTGTTTGTATTTTCTTGCACTTTGTTTCAAAAAATTCACTACATCTTGCTCCTGATACAAGCTTGGTTCTGAGCGGAGTGGAGTGGGATAGGGAGTGTTCCGTTAAGCTAATTTGTTTGTCACATGCACGCACCTTCTAATTGCTCTGCAGTCAAATTGAATATGGTTTGCATCTGAGCTTCGGGAACTTCATAGGTCTCCAAGAAAGCATCTGCAATATGGTAAATACTCACCATGTATATATCTGAAATACCTACCCAACTCATTCATCATTTGCCGGTCCTCTGTCCTGGTTAGAACTGTTTGTTTTGGCATGTATTGCTCAAAAATGGCATCACGTTGTTTCCGGGTTGCATTTGTTGTTTTAGGCCAGGCTGTTTTCGGATACTTATTTGGCTTTGTAATTATACGTTGTTTCTGGATGAGGCGGGGACTTTCGTTTGGCACGTTGCTGTTTGTATGTTCATTTTCGCATCCACAATTATCCTCGCCCGAATACGTGCTCAAAGTCAGACGCAATTTTTCAAACTCAAGCTACACGGAAAAGGGAGACCGTTGCAAAGGTATTGTGTACCTACCTGGTCTTCTGTGGACAATTGAAACAATTCTTCTGGTGGTGGTCTTACATACGGTGTCAGAGGTGTATCCGATTCACCAAGCGGTACACATCTACCGGGATTTGTTTGAAGCAAACGGGCTGGTAAATTCTCCATAATTGCTTTTTGAATCTCTTCAAATGACATATCATATTGTGAATCCGGATGCATTATGTTTCCCTCAAGACGGTGTTCTTTACTACTATCTGTAAATCAGTAATAAAGACAGACGTAAATAATAATGATTATTTGAGTCGCATATGATTGAATGGTTAATAAAGGATTCATCATGCAATGCTGACATAGATATCAGNTTAATATATATATATATATATATCTTGGGTACAAGTTTATGACTGAAAAGATAACAGACTACTGGATAAGCATGCCTGACGAGCGGCAAGAACCGCGAGACTGATCGTGTTCTTCCAGGGAAATTTTGTCCAGTCATTCATATACTACTTATTGTCAAATATTCAATAAAGACGCTGAAGTCACGTTTGTTGCGTTTAGTGGAATCTAACGCAACTAAAAATCCTCGAATCATACATACTATTGGTTCTTCAATGGAATGGTTCTGAAAGAGCTGTCCAAACAAATTTGCCCGGTGTTGTAAATGAGGTAATTGTGATGAAACTTCATTTCCTGGGTACAATTATATGAATGGAAAAGACAAAAGACTGCCGGATAAGCATGCCTGACGGGCGGCAAGAATTGCGAAATCGGTCGTGTGCTTCCGGGAAAATGTTTCCAGTCGTTCATATACTACTTATTGTCAAATATATATATATATATATATATATATATCACACATCTGGGTTTCAACTGTGCGTCAAACAAATCACGGTAGACTAGTATTTATAAAAATGCAAGGCTCCATAATGTGCTCAAGGATGATATATTACTCAGGCAAAAACAGGTGAATTTTCTTTAGGAATTTACAACCGAAGCCTACATAAGCCTGACTCGTAAGGAATTGCGGTGGTGTGTGAAAATCGTAATCCATTGGGGACTGGTGTTTAGTCCACCGATTGGACGGGGTCAAACTTTTAAGGTGCCTGATACACCTCTATACCCAGTCAAGCCGGTGACCACTGCCACAACCACGAAAGTATTTGTGTGCTTCTTATGCCTCTTCTTAGTTGGTTTGCAATCAGAAGTCTGGGCATTCATATACAGTGTTTGTTCTCGTAATCAATCGTCAAAACTGCTTAACTTTTCATCGTTTAAACATTATTTTGGTGATATGGACCGATATTTCGTTACCAGTTGTTTTGACGTTCATACATTGTTGATGATCGACTATCCAGAATAACCAATGGATTGTTCCTTCAAAGCACCACAAACGTAAATGCCTGTGACATTATGTTTTTATTTTACGATCAAAATGATCTCATCAATGGATGAGATGAAACGTTGCAGGAAGGAAGGTTATTTAAAACTGCCTATTAAACTTTTAAGGATATCTCGACAATCAATCAATTTCCCCGAAAAGGAATTATTTAAATATTTTCAGCTCGTGTTTACACAACGATTTTGCTTCTCCCAGTAGGAACATTATCACAAATTTTGCTGTACTGCACTGTAAATGCTCAAAGATCAGAAAGCAGTTCCTACTAAGTCCAAATCAAACTCATAGCGGAGCGTTGCTCGCTAACCGCTTTTATTACCGCATCGGAAACCTAACAGAGGAATGTAACCGAAATACTGTATACCACTCGGAGGCGGATATTGAAATTGTGCCGTTAACTGGTGGCTCCCAGGGAGGTTCATCTCAATGAACACCTTGGTGTACCGGGCATGTTCCAAGCGGAGGAGCCAAAGCAAACAGCTTGTTTCCGGGATTTCAACGTCATTCGAAGGTCTCTCTCTATGTAAATCGACGGACTGTAATATCATGGAATCATAGACTACACTCCATGTATTGGTGTGGGCAATCCAGTAGACGTAATAAGGATAACAGAACAGTTGAATTTTTATCAGCTGTTTGTGAATCAAAATACAGCATAGAATTTTCTACTACGCAATATCAACTAAGCACAATACGAACTACATTAAACACGGTTGTTAAGGATCCTAGAGTTGTAGTGTTCTCTATGAAGAAACACCTTCCATTGCAAGCAGACTGTATCTTGCTGTGGTTTGATGACTATTGCACCCATATGACGAGCTATATTGGATAACTATTATCGAGCCAAAGGATCTTGCCGTGCCTGAAAGGTCAGATGGTAGAAGTATAGTCTCCTGGTTCTCCAGGTTGAGGGTTTGACTCCAGTTGGTATCTCAGTCGGTAAAATGGTGGAGTAATGTTTACTCCAAGTAAATGGGCATCCCCTTCGCTTTACCTGATGCCTTGAGGTTAAGTTCTTGTCAGAACTAAAGGCTTTGGACAAGAACCGTAATTGTTCTCCAGCTTAGTGGCTAGACTCTCAAGTGATACCCGTCCATCAAATTCTAATACACACAAAAACTAAACACAATCCCATACTGCAGGATAACCAGGACCGCGCTGTCTATTGTATCGGGGTGGGTGATGATATGTGGGTTGATGGTAAGACATCCCAACCTTTGTTTAATTCTTTGTTTTCCGTACACAACCTTCCCCATTTTCCGGTCCTTCCGATCCGTAACATTCCATCTGACAATTTGTTTATGACTCACCAAAGCTTGTCGCCAAATAACACTGGAAATAGTATGCCACGAAATAAA